CATCACTGGACAGAGTAATTTTAAGAAACAAGTGAAGACTGCTGCATATAGCTCTGCTTCTACATAGCAACCCTCTCAAGTGAGGGACGATTCTCCTGCATCTTAAGGAGGATGCATAGTGCCCTTCAGCAGGATGGAGGATCATGATAGAAACTCAGGAGCTTGCACCTTGCAGCTCTGGGTGTGTTACAGCCCACCTGTGCTAATGTGGGTTCCTCTGCCCATCAGTTGACAACATTTTCCTAGCATCCTGTCTCTTTAAAATATGGTAATACTTCTTTCAAGTTGCTTATTTAGAGAATGAAGCCAACTCTGCTGTCACTAAGGTGGGAGTCTGTTGTTAAAGTGCCATCGAATTGGTTCTGACTCACAGCGGCCCTGTGTAGGGTTTCTGGGGCTTTAAATCTACTCACAGCGGCCCTGTGTAGGGTTTCCGAGGCTTTACATCTTCACGGAGCAGAAAGCCTCATCTTTCTCCCACAGAGCAGCTGGCGGGCTCCAACCTTGGACCTTGTGGTTCACAGTCCTACGGAGCCACTGGGCTTTCCAGGTCAGAAAACCATGGCATCTATTTTGTTAGCCTGTGGACACCATATACTGAACTCCTTCTCTGTGCCTGGCATTTTCAGTACATCTTCACCAGTGTTCCCAAGAACATTCCATGTTTATCACAAATAGTGAGCCCATCTAAATAGTGCACTCACCCATATAACACGTAGAGAAAACAGTGCAGGGTGGATTGTTCAATTGGCCAAAGCCTGGATACTGTATGAGCTGTTTGCATAAGCTACCATATGAATTCTCTCCATTTCCTGTCTGAGGACACTGAGGCGCTCAGGAAGTCAAAGATGCTCTGGTTATTAAATGGTACAACAGGATTTGGACCAAGATCAGCCTGACTGTTTTAATTACCTGTGCTCCAGAGATAGCAAAACTTATACCCAAATCCCTATTCTACAACTTACTAGCTACGTGACCCTACATAAGCCACTGCTGGGCCTCTATTTCCTTTCCGTCATACAGGGTTGTAATAATAATGCTTACGATTACTTACTAGGAGTAAGGGGTTCTGGTAGCGTAGTGGTTATGAATCAAGGTCAGTTGTTCCATGGGAGAAGGATGAGGCTTTCTGCTCCAGTAAGGATTTACAGCTTCGGAAACCCTGTACAGGGTCACTGTGAGTGGGAAATGCCTCCATGGTACATCAGCACCAGCACCATGATTCTGAGTGACTGGTACAGTGCCACTCAGTACATGTTTGCTGCTGTTACCATCATTATTCTTATCCTCATCATCTATTTTTGAAGATCACATTATAGTCATAGTTTACAGAGAAAGTGGCCAAGGGACTCCTGGGATGTTGTAGGAGAGATCTCTTTCTGTTTGGAAGGCTTAGGTGCGCAAGTTCAGTGAAAAGTTACGTAACAGGCATTTGTTCTTTTCTGTGCACTAATCAAAACACTTTCTCTCCAGTCACTCCTCTGAAACTAGATAATGTCCCCATCTGGAGATGTTGTTGCTGTTAATTACCGTGGAGTCGGTTCCGACTCAATAGTGACCCTACACAGGGTTTCCAAGGCTACAGATCTTTTCAGGAGCAGAAAGCCACATCTTTTTCCCACGGAAGAGCTGCTAGTTTCAAACTGCTGACCTTGAGGTTAGCAGCCCTATTCGTAACCACTACACTACCAAAGAGGACTTGAAATATTGATGAAGAACAAAGACTATGTAGCCTTCAGTGTGGATTGCACCTCAGTGTAAAACAAAAATCCTCACAACTGGACCAATAAATCCCATCATGGTAAATGGAGAAAAGATTGACTTTGTCAAAGACTTCATTTTGCCTGGATCCACAATCAACACTCACAGAAGCAGCTGTCAAGAAAGCAAACGACTGCTGCAGTGGGCATCTCTGCTGCAAAAGACCTCTTTCAAATATGCAAGTGCAAAGATGTCATTTTTAGGACAAGTGCAAAGTGCCTTACTCAAGTCATGATATTTCCAGTCACCTCCTGTGCATGTGAAAGTTGGACAATGAATAAGGAAGAGCAGAGAAGAGTCAATGCACGTGATTCGTTTTTTGCTGTATTGGAAAGTACCAATCTAGAACATTCTCTTTTAAACTCACTTAGCAATATATTTAAGGCTTTTTTTTTTTTTTTAATGTGGTGATCAGATTCCCATCATGGTGAAAGTCACAGTAAATTAGTAGGTTAGCAGAGCATCTGTATCCGGCTAGGAAGGCCGAAACTTACATGAGAAACCTGCAGCTCCAGGGAAGAAAGTCAACGTCCTTGGACATACTGACTGCCCTACACTTTGCTTGGTGATATATCATGTGCATTGTGTGTGTTGTGAACCTGACTTTACACACAAGCAGACTTGCCAAGGTCTCATAGCTGCTCAGTCCTAGAGTACAGATTCTAGACCACAGCCATCCGGCCCGAAAGCCTTGGCTTTTCTTGTTGTGGGAAGTCCTGAAAACATTCTGCTAATGTCTGTGCTCCCGCCTTCTAAACCTTTCCCAGAAATAACTCAAGTACAGAGCTGGAACCACAGTTGGTTTTGCTGTGATTAGCTTTGCAGCTGTACATCTACCTACGTGTCGTCCATGTGTTTTCTCCCAGATGTAGAAAATGCTAAGTTAAGTTCACTTTTCTGGACAGCCTGCTCTGTGGTGAGCCTGCTTATTGCCGGAGGGCTGGCACTGAGGCTGGTGACAAAGATGGCCGCCCCCTGAATGGATAGACTAGGGAGAGCTGCTTGGGGAGGTAGCAACTGAGCTGAGTGCTATTACGGAAACAGTTAACAGTGAAGAAAGGCTTTCCAGGTAGAAAGAACCACATATGCAAAAACTGGGAAGGGTGGCGAGAAAAAACCAACTGCTGGAAGTTACGTAGCATGGCTGGAAGAGTTTTTAAGGGGAAATGATGGGAGACAACTAAAAGCCAGGACATGAGGGTTCTTAAGTACCAAGAAGTTTAGCTTTCATCCCACAGGGCAGTGATGGAAAACCTGGGAAAAGATGGTGCTTTGAACTCAGTTTTCTAATTGAATGAAGGTCATTTCATTCCAAACCCCTCATTTCTCCACATCCCCATTGAGGAAAGACTGTCTAAAAATCTCATTTCTCCTCCATAGTAAGTTTTCTGCTGAACCTTAAACAAATTCGGAGCTTTACAAGACCTCAGTAAGTATTCTGATGTCCAGTTCTGATTGGCTGTATTGTTGCCATTGGATATACATATAAACTTGAAAAACTGGATTTCAAGATGTGCCCCAAAGATTTTCTGTTGTTTGCACTCAGAGTCATTGCCCAAGCATCTGCTAGGCTCTGTGAGTTGGACATGGGAGAGTCCTGGTCCTCACATGCCTCATCACCTTGAGGGAACACAGCAGACACAAAAGACTGAAAAGCCATTTTCTGTGAGGGCTTGGTTCGAGAAGTTTTCAGTATGGCAGAGGAAATTCTAAATACCAGCTTACTGCCATTGACTCCAGGTTTCTCTAAACTGATTGCACAGATGAGGTTCCTGAGTTTAGTGTTCAGCTGGAGACAGCTGCCAGCAGAGCTTCAGCATCAGGCAGACCTGCATCGGAGTACTCAGCTCAATAGGGTTCTTTTCAGGACTACGTGAGATGGCTCCTGTGAAGGGTTGAGCCCAGAATTTGACTGTGATAGATGCTCCTTGGTGCTCCCCAGTGTTAAGTCTTGTTAGTGTTCATTCAGGGTGACAAACTGCCATCTTCTGATCTGTGTGGTGGGACTACGCATTCCAAATCCATCTGTACCACTGACTGTAAACCTTGTGTTCACCTTGTGTTGGAGCCTTCATTTCTGGTTCTGTCTCATCTTTCCTCATAAAATCCATTGCAACTTCATGTTCATCCACTGATGAATGTACCTCTCTCTCTTTTGAATTCAAATGTAGCCCAACCAGAGGTAATTGTTCCATGCATAGATGGATTCTCCACATTATAAAATTGCTTAGTGTTGAGACTGTATCTGTAATTTACAGTGTTTACGAGATGTCTGTAAGGTTAATAGCTGCAGTAAGGGGGTCAAACATACCAACAAATGTGACGATGCCACAGAACTCGGAGATGTTTCCTTCTGTTACACAAAACAAGGTCACCAGAATTTGGAGCTGAGTTAACAGCAGCATGTCAAATGGTCCCCAGATGTGTCGATACATCTTTATACAGTAGTTGAAGTTCGCTTTAAGTGCTTTGTTTTATACACATGGGTATGTTGTTGCTATTGTTAAGTGCTGTCAAGTTGGTTCTCACTCACAGGGTCCCCGTATGAGGTTTCCAAGGAGCGGCTGGTGGGTTTGAACTTCCAACCTTTGGTGAGCAGTCCAGTGCTTACCCTACAGCGCCACACCTGGAATCCTGTATTTTCAGATTTGTAGGTTACTGTGGTTCAATGATTTATGCTCTGGTTTTTTGTTTGTTTTTTTTTAATTTCAGGTTTTTATTGTGGATTGAGTGAAAGTTTACAGGGCACATCATCAGTTTCACATTCAACAATTCATATAACTTATTTCATTACATTGATTATAATCCCCTCCATATACCATCAGTTAAAAGTATTTCTCTTTGCTTTTTTTAAAAAACACAAACAAAAAATCCCACTCAGGCATGTATAATAAATTACATTTCCAAAGGGCACATTCTGCAAGTCTGCTCCTGGCCACCAGCTCTTAGTCCTTCTCCTCTTAGTTGATGAATCTAGAGTCCTCAGCCGCTCCCCCTCTCCATGCCTCCATCTCTTTCTCCATCTCTGGCGCTGCTGCTTCTCTGGATAAGGTCCCACATTCTATTTGTGCATTCCTCTCTTGATGGTCCTAGGGTCCTCTGTTTCTGGACAGTAAGATTAACCACTCCCCTTTTTTTTGTTACAAAACTTCTACCTTTACAAGTGTGACAGTCACAATTAGTCTTGATAACAGATATTCACTTATGCTCTGGTTTTTTGTTTTGTTTTTTCATTTTAGTTTCTTTCAAGATGGCTTGAAAACAGCTGATAAGTTGAAGCAGTACATTGAAAAACTGGCTGCCGATTTATATAATGTAAGTCCTCCTTCAAATACATGCATTTGAATCTGCTTTCTCAGATAAATTAAAACTTTCTGAAGGCCTACGAGAGAGCATTTTTTGAGTATTGTGTCAGTGTAAACATAAATCAGCTCAGAGAAGTAATCAGGGAGCTGGGAGGGACATGCACATCCCTGGTTCTAGATAGCTGTTCATTCATGGTTCAGTCACACCACCTGTAAATGCCCCCAAAGCAAGTGCAGAAAGAGTGTTGATCTTGGCAGGATAAGAAGAAAATGCCTGAGTCTGGGAGGTTGATATATTGTGTGGGGGGGTGGGGGGAGTGGTGATGAGGCTTATTTTTATATTTCTACTCTCATTTCTTCTCCCTAATGTGCAGGTTTTGCTTCTATAATAGGGAAATCAAATGTAAACTTCATTGTGGGGGGAAACTTAACGTATACATAGAAATGGGGAATGTGTTTCCCATAATCCACATGGCATTGTGAGTGCAACTGCTGTGTTCAAATAAAACCTTGCAATTGTAAATACTAATACTGCATATTAATATAAACAGCAGTAGTAACACCTAGAGGTATTTTTCTGATCTTCTTTTTTTAAAAGTTGTTATAATAAAAAGTATAGATAGATAGATATAAATGAATACCCCCATTCCTCCCATAGCACTCTCGACTCCTCCCCTGGGTTTGATCATTCATTTTAGTGACCACACAGAAGGCAGACAGTGTACTCACAGTTGAGGAGTTTGTTAGGATAGGAAGCAGGTTATCATTCAGGGTCAGCAATGCTGAGGGCACAGTTTTCCCAGTCAGGATCGCCTCTCCTTGCCAGCTAGCATTACAAAGTTCATTTAGGGTACTGACAAATGTTCATAAGGCACACCACTCCACTGTAAGCTGCAGCCTGAAGGCACTCAGCCCTAACTTCCTGGCTCCACAAATCTAGGACCCCCAAGGAAATACCTGGGGGGCACCCCACTCCGAAAGGCAGACTCTTGTCCAAAATCACTTAGCTTTACATACTTGGTGGTCTGGGAAGGCCCCCGGTCGTGTGGAGGGCTGGTTCTTGGTCCTGCTGCTGCTCAGCCAGTCCTCTGATGTCACAGCTTTCTGTCCCTGGGTTGAGGAGGTTCAGTGTGCAGGGACCCTACAAAGGATGCGCTCTACTCTGGGCTCTTTGTCCTTGATGGCAGTGAGATGCCGCATTCCTATTTCCGAGCTGGTTCATTTTATACGTGTTAGAATCCCAGGTTTGTACAATCACAATTAGCTCAGCTAACCATTCACACCTGAATCATACAAACCTCTCACCATCTTCACCGTGTGGTACCCAGATCCACCCGGCAGAGCTAAACCATTGTTTGGTAGGAGTTCAGACTGTGGCTGGAGGAGACACTGAATCACTCAGTACATCACAGCAGTGAACATGGTTCGGGTTAAGGTTAAGTTCTAAGTGATTTAAAAGGCAACACTAATTCCTTGTCCTCATGACGTGCTTTGTAAACTTTTATGTATGTGTGTTACCATGCAGGAGGCCCAGATAATCTCGTGTGTGAGTGTGAGTGAATGAATTTGGGAGAAGGTTTACAAAGCAAATCAGTTCTTCATTCGACAACTCATATACACCTTGCTTTATGCCACTGATTGCCACCTCCACAATGCAGCATTTCTAATCCCACTGCCTCCCAGTGTATCCCACCTCCATTCATTTCTTTGTCCGAACCCTTCTGAACTTTGTCCCTGGAAAAATGCTCTGCACACTGCCCCCCGCACACCTCATCTTATCTAAAGTGGTTAACGGTTCTAAGGAGCACACACTTCCTGGTGTCACCATTCCCTGTAGACCTGCTCATTGCCTGGCCGAACATTGAGCCTAGGAGGTGAGTTCAGTTCTAGACTTGGAGAGAGATTCAAGGCCGTGGTCTTGGGGATTCCACCAGCTTCTGTTCAGTCAGTCTTCTCTCCTGGCCCATTTCATCACACCATGGTGTTCCCACTACCACCAGAAGGAAATGATCCTATTGTTGCTTGTTAACCTTGTTTATAGCAGTACTTTAGCATTAATTGTCTGTCTGGATTTGTAAGCATGTTGTGCTATTCAGTGATGTTAAAACTTCCGGTACTTTCATCAACTGAGAATACCATGCCACTCTGGTATCGTGAAGTTCTTTTATAAGGAAATTTACTGTATAACTGACCTGCTTGATGAGTGGTACATTTGGTAAAATTAAACTCTGTTCACAAAGTCTTTAACATAAGTGATAGGAACCTTTTTTCTTCTTCATAGATCAAACAGACCCAGGATGAAGAAAAGAAACAGCTAACTGCTCTCCGAGACTTAATAAAATCCTCCCTTCAACTTGACCAGAAAGAAGTAGGTGACCTCTATGTTTCCGACAGACCTAGTGGTCTAAGTGTAATGGTTTATGGTGCCCTTTGGGTTTCCTGATTCCAGGAATATCACAGGCATGTTGCGAGTTCTTTCCTGTCAGGGTGGCTATGAGAATATGAAGACAGAGTATGTAAGTGTGTCTGTGGTATTGCCCAGCTTAGGATCTGTGTACTCCGGATCCCTTTCCCACCGCCCCGCCTCCCATCTTGGCTCTGGAGACCAAACTTCAGGAGGGCACCCTCAGCATGTCAGAAGGCTGAACTGCGATGTGGGCCCCACAGTCGGTCTCTTTAAACTGATCTCTCACTTTCTGGAAAGCTAGATGGAGATGTGTGTCACTAAGCCAGAGAAATAGGGAAATCTTTTTGATTGAGAATCCTGTCGAAGTTTTGTCCCACCATTAGGAAAATTAAGGTGAGATGGTCCTTGAACATTGCAGTGCAGTATATAATGTGTGGTAGGTGTTTCGTGATGGTAGTATAGATCCCTAATGAGAAGTGTTATTTGTCCATGTATTTGTTCAATTAGTACCGCCTATGTGCCCCACCATGTCGAAGCCCTGGTAGCACTGTAGGATAAGCACTGCACTGCTAACTGCAAGATCAGTGGTTTAAAACCCCCTGTTCCCTCAGTGGGAGAAAGATGTAAATTTTGTCAAGATTTACAGTCTCAGAACCCTGTGCAGGGTCACTATGTATCCACAGTAACTCCATGGCAGTAGGTTTGGTTTCTGTTTTTGGTAATGTGCCCAGCATAGGGAGCTCTGGTGGTTCTGCTGCTAATCAAAAGGTCCATGGTTCAAACCCACCAGCTGCTGTGTGAGAGAAAGATGTGGCAGTTTGCTTTTGTAAAGATTACAGCCTTGAAGACTCCCTGGGGCAGTTCTACTTTGTCACATGGGGTCGCTGTGAGTCTTGAGTGGTAACGGGTATGGTTTGGTGCGAGCCCAACCCTGTTGTCAAACTTACAAATGAAATGAGTTTTCAAACTTACAAATGAAATGTGTTGTCAAACTTACAAATGAAATGAGTTTTCATTAGGCAGTTTGTTAACTTGTAGAATGATATCAGTGCTTTAAGAGCATGTTAGGAGGGGGTGCACAAGAGAAAAGGGGGCAGGGTTAGAGCAAGGACATTTCTGGCAAAGAGAAGAGACTGAAAAAAACCTCAGAGATGAAAATAGTCCAGGGCCAGAGCTGTGCGGGAGAGTGGTGAGTTCAGACCTGAATCTAAGGGCCTTGGGGGTCTCACCAGAGCCATGGACTTGGTCCTGAGGGATGCTGACTAGTGAGCACCCCTGTTAGTGAAGAAGTCAGCATGGGGCTTTCACATTAGGAAAACTATTAGGGTTAGATCTAAGATATTTTATAATGCAATATTTAATAACAGCTGCATAAAATACAGCATTTTGTGATCAATTCCTTGTGATATTATCTCAACACTATGCTAAACTGATAGATTGTCTAAGTCCTTAAAATTTCTGAAAGGGGTTTTTGGGTCCAAAAAAAAAAAAAGCAGACTACTTAATCCTTGAGAAAACCCATACCAGCAACACGGATTCTTTAAAGCCCCCCTCAACACTGTACTCATTACTGACCAAATGCATTGAGTTTTCATAGCGCTTTGACTCATGGAAGTGGGCATCCACGACCTCAAGATCCAGCCAGGTGCAGGAGTGGAGTCAGCTCTCACTTTGTCCAGTCTCAGAGCCAGAGTCTGCTTCTATATTCTGAGGCTTTGGACTGTGTTGAGAACCACTTGTAACTGTCAGAACCCATTAGACCACAGGCTGAACTCAGATAGGCTGTATTCTTGAATGGAGGCATGTATTGCTAGCATGCAAAACCCCTGGAGAAATGGTCTTCTTGAATGAGCAATAAAAACAAAAATCCAGTTGACCAACTAGTCAACCCCAACTCTAGGCAAGCCCATGGGTGTCACAGTAGACCTGTGCTCCTGGAGTTCTCAATGGCTATATTGTGAAAGGAGATCGGCAGGCCTTTGGCCACAGTGTTGATGGATAGACTTAACTTCCAACCTTTCAGTTAACAACTGAGCTCATAAACCTTTTACACCACCCAGGGACTCCTGGAAGAGCAATGGTGGTGGTGGTGGCTACGTGCCGCGGAGTTGGTTCCGACTCATAGCAACCCTGTATAGAGTTTCTGAGGCTGTAAATCTTTACAGGAGCAGAAAGCCTCATCTTTTTCCCACAGAGCAGCTGGTAGTTTCGAGCTGCTAACTTTGAGGTTAGCAGCCTGACTCCTAACTACTATACTACCAGAGCTTGGGGAGAAGGTGGGTTTCTTTCTAGGTTGTGTAGTCACTGGTATGTTCTCAGGCACCTCCTACCTTTGTTTATCACACAAGGTCCCTCCTCCCTGTCTGCAGAAGCTTTCTTCAGAAGAAGACCATTGCGATCCCTTCGCTTTTACTTATAGACTGGAGTATTCTACCCAAAGAACAGATTTATATGGACTCCAAAGGAGTGTAACAATTGTACATAATTTGATTTATTTCAGTGCCACCCCAGATTAATAAATGATGAGTTTTCTTTAGCTCCATGTTTGTATTATCTTACCAGTAAAGTTGATTCTTCACAGCATTCTCATGCTGTTTAGCATCTTTCCTTGAAAAAATGTGTGTAGGAGGTAATGATTTTTAACAACTTGGAATAAATAGGAGCAGAGATGATCCTTCAGAGAGCTCTGGCCACAGTACTCTCATTTAAGACGAGTGTAACGTAATCTAGGAAACGGCTTCAGAAATTGAAGCTCCCCCCAGTCATGCAGACCCTCACCACCAGTTCTAACTTGACTCCCTAAAGGAAGCACTGAGAATTTCAGTTGTAAATCGGATTCTAGGATGTTTGGTTGATGAATTTATTTTCTTGTCAAAATCAAAGTCTTTATTGTCTTTTTGCAGGTGCTTTATGAGATTTAATTATCTTAAGCTTTTATAATAGCCTGTTCTCCAAAAATAACGATTTTCTGCATAACTAAGGCTGAAAAGAGTTTCCTTATAATAATAATAGTAATATCCACAAATCTTACTTAGTATATACTAGACAATTAAAAAATTTCAGCTTTTCATTGAGTCCATTTGATGGACTCTAAAAAAGCTCATTTTATATATATAGTACAGTTTGCAGGTTGCTTAAGAGCATGTACTCCATCACAGTATCTGGTACCTTATGAATAGTATGCTGAAATGTAGTTCAAGTACATACAACCAGTAAAAGCTACTTCAGGAATAGTATACTGAAATGGAAGAATTCTTGGCCCACTCCACTTAAACCTTCCATTCACAGTGTAAAGTTTCTAGACTAGTGGGTTAGTGTCAAATTGGATGCCAGAAACATTTATAACTCGATTAAATCAATGAGTGTGTAATTGCTTGCAGTTTTTAAAAGATTTAAGATTTTATTCCTTAATGTATTTTATATGTTAATAAGGTTTTCTAATAAGAAAGTAAGGTGATTTGTCTGTGCTGCTGATAGAGAATAGGAAATTGAAGTTAAAAATACTAGCATGGTTTCATTCTATAGCTTTATATTCTTCTTTGACTGGCATGATGAAAATTTCCCCAAGGTGTGATTTTCAATCCATTGTATAAGTTTAGTTTTATAATTTTGCCTGAATGAGTTTACTACTTGCATTTACTTTTTGTGGGAACAGGTTTATTCCTGTTATGCTTTCAGAGGATTTAGGACCTATTGTATTCCTTCTGTTTTGTTTTTGTTGTTTCAAAATTATTACTAGTGTTATTAATTCTCCAAGGTTTACTTTCTCAAGAAGTGAGATCCTCTTTCCATTTTTCTGGAGTGTGCCTCTAAGCCAGCTGACTGTCCATCGTTTCTAAATCATGATTAATGTGTCTTCCTTAAGCCGTAAAATGCATTAGCAGCTCATTTAAACAGGCTGATGCTAGAGTTCTTAGCATTGCTTCCTTCCTGCTCATTGAATTGAATATGTTTCTAAACCAACGCCCACTGCTTAGCTGTCTTATTTCTGAAAGCATATGTGTCTGTTATAAAGCAATCTAAGTGTTTGTTACTCAGAATTTAAAGCTAGCCTAGGAATAAGTACATATAAGGAATACTTACAGTAAGTTTACAGGATATAATGGTTTTCCTAAATTATCAGCTGTTAATCCTTGTTTAAAATCTTTTACTTTAAAACTTAGGCAATATTTTTATGATATCTTAGCGAATGGATTAAGGTTAGAGGTCATACAGTGTCGCCTAGGAAACGTCGAGGGATTTGGTTCAGTGAAAGGGGTTCTAAAGAAGGAGGACTGTTCTTTTAATAAGAACATCAGAGATTGAGATTTTAGCTTCCGCTGTTAATAATTCTGTTTTTGGAAGTATAGCTGTGGCAACATTCCTTGGTCCTGAGTCCATAGTTGAGGAACTTTCAAGTGATTTCACTGAGCGAAAGCAGAAAGATCTATGGATTTCATTTATTCCTGCCTTCTGTTGTTATGTTTCATGGCTCAGTTCCCAGTCCCTTGGCTTTAAATGTTTAGTCCTGCTATTTCTTTATTATGATTATACACAATGCCTTCCTTTAAAACTGTAAAATACCTGTTACTACTGGTGTTGCTGAGGGCTGTCAGTAGGACAGCGGTAGAGGAAGGCTGCACTTTGGAGAGCTAGTGTTCAGGACAGTCCCTTGGTTGTGTCTTCATCCAGAAGGCCTGGAAGGTCCTGTCAGGAAGAGCACTCAGTGGATTCAAAGCTATGGACCCCAATTCAGAATCAACATTAGGGGAACTTTTCAAGCAATTTCTAGATTTCAGTCCACTTCCGTTCCTCCCTGTGTGGTTAAAATTGCCCAATTAGATGTTTCAGCAGGAGGGACTCCTGTCAAGTCATTTCCGACTCATAGCGACCCTGCCAAGGGTTTCTGAGGAGCAGCTGGTGAGTTTGAACTGCCAACCTTGCAGTTCAAACTGGCCATGCGATCAAGTGCTAATGCTACAGCACCACACTGATGTCAAGAAAATGGCTAGGGTGTATAACTCTTTAATAGGGGCCACTTCCCTGGTGAAGTGTACAGTCCACTTTCCCGTGGCCATCATGGGCTAGCAGAGCAGTGAGGGGGGACATGCGTCCACCTCAGAGACAGACAGATGCTACTACATTCTAGTTTGTATCCTCAGCAGGTTTCATAGAACCTGGCTTTTAGGAGGGAGTCAGGACGTGCTTTTGAACACAGACCTCATCATGTCTTACTACAAAGGCACATTGTCCTAGACATTTCCCTTCTGCTGCTGTTAAATTTATTTCCAGTCACTGAGCACATGCTTTGTGGTCCACAAGGATTCTAGATGCCAGAAAGAAGCCATCGTGGCCTAAAGGTGCGCTGTGTGTAAGCCATGAGTAAGGAAGCAGCGAGCGCTTAGCTTCCTGCTTCACTTTGCAGGTGTTGATTACAAAAGCAAACTTAAACTCCATTGCTGTCAAGTCAGTTCTGACTCAGAGCAACCTTGCAGCACAGAGTAAAACTTCCCCATACGGTTTCCAAAGGCATCATCTTTGGGGGAGCAGACTATCACATCTGTCTGAGCACCCACTTTTCACTTAGCTACTGAGTACTTAACCAGTGCACCAGTTGTTAAGTGCCAACTCATAGCGACCTGTTTAGAGTTTCCAGGGAGTGGCTGATGGAGTTGAGCCACTGACCTGGTGGTCAGCGGCGCAGTGTTTATTCACAGCGCCGCATGAAGACCAATAGGGGCTCTTCTTAATATTTTTATTAAGTCTCTTAGTATTAATTAAAGACTCAAAGAGGTCTCCTATAACTTGCAGTTCATACTCTAAATTTTTCTAAGTAATTCACGTGTGAGTTTCACTGATGGGACGTGTTGATTCCCTGTGCACATACACTGTGTGGTTTGTCATTTTATCTTGGAGAAATGTTGACCCTCGTTTTCTTCCTTTCAGCTGTTTTTCTGCTCTGGCTCAACATGACCAGAAATAAACCTAATGAATACAATAAACATTTTGTTGTTGTTTTTCTACCATCCCAAGTTTATCCATCATCCCGAGGATCCTAAAGACAGTGTGCATATGTGTGCGTGCATGCGTGTGTGTGTGTTGTCTGGCATTAACATTTACAATGATGTTCTCTATATATATGTGTCACATAGAAATGCTTAAATTATAGCTGGTAATACTTCTCAGTGAAATTAACTATATTTTCAAATGTTCTGCCTTTTTTTTCTCTGCTTCTTTCGCCCTTCCCGATCGAAGTCTAGGAGAGTAAGTTCATCATTTTTGTGAGAATGCTTTTTGCTACTTTTCTGTCTGGAGACCTGTATTCTCGTTTAGCAGTCCAAGCTTGTTAATTTGTTTATTACATTTTCATAATGCAGTGGCTCTTTCTAATCATGCGGTCTTTAGGAATGTGGTATGGATCAGGGGAGTGGTGTATTCCATCCAGCTTGTTTGCATCTGTACCTGTTCGTCCTTGTCACCTGTCATCACCCTAGACTCTCTTTATGTTAGCTGTGTGGTTATAAGTGTAGTTTACAGAGCACTCATTACAAAACCAGAATTTTACAATTATTCCCTGTACCTCTGTCAGAAGCGCCACTTTCATTGGTCGTATTTGAGCAGAATGTGTGAAGGGAGGGAAGGTAGATTGTGTCCACTTACATTGGAACTGTCCTTTCCATCTCTGCCTCTGTAAACTGGGTGGAGTCCCGCACTGGCTGCTGCTGCTATACAGACACATAGAACAAGTGCCCTAGTCTCGAAAGCAGGAGACCTGGGCCCCCACTCTGCCTCTGCCTCTGCCTCTGCCTTGCTCGATGGTGTGGGCAGTCATCGACCTGCGCAGCTTCCTTCTATGTAAAATAAAGGCAAGGGTCCTGCCAGCTCTTTAAGTCCTGTCCTTCTCGAAGGCCCTGGCCAGTGGGCCAGGTCTCAGTGGCAGGATGGGGGCCCAGAACTCAGACTTGTCTCCATGTGTTTGATGTGTGGTTTCTTTCCTAGGATTCCCAGAGCCGGCAGGGCGGCTACAGCATGCATCAACTCCAAGGCAACAAGGAGTATGGCAGTGAGAAGAAGGGTTACCTGCTGAAGAAGAGTGATGGGTATGTGAACCCAGCCCCGCACCCCATGTGTGCTCAGCACCCCTGTGTTGGATTAGGGGCCTCTCAGATAGGAACCCACATGGGCAGACGGACAGGTTCTCGTGTGCTACCTTCAGAACCTTAGCTCACTGGTCTCCGAGCAATCTCAGAAGTAACCTGCTGTCTCTAGAAAGTGCAGCCGTTACTCTGATCCCTGATCCCTGAATGGCGCCGTGATGTGTAACTGCATTTGCGGAGGACAAGAGGCAAGCAGATGGCTCACTGGCCTCAGACTCGCCCACTTCTCTGCTTTTGTTCCTGAGTTTCCTCTGCCTGGAATGCACCCCCACCCCCACCCTATCAAGTGGGGACCCACCACGACTCCACTCTTTGAGGTCTATCTCTGAAAGCAATCCACTTCTGGCCATCTCTGCTGCCCTCACTCAGCACTGCCCCCTCTCTCCTAGGTGGTCTCTCCCCTCACTCTCTGTCCACAGGGCAGTCAGTGTGTTCCTTTTAACACAACAGACTCATCACCCAGAATGCTCCAGGGCCAGGCTTCCTGTCTCCTCACCGCCTTTCCCTCCCATCTCACCTAGTACTACTTTCTCCCCAGGCCCAGCCACCCGGGCTGCCTTGCTGCTGCTGCTTGAACAAGTGATTCACTCACAATAAGTGTATAGCAACTGAAGTGTGTTCTTCCTTGACGTTTTTTCTCTCTGTGCACATTCTAACAAAATAATCCCAGTAAGAACAGCTGCTTCTGAGCGAACCCTGAATACTCGGTGTCCTACGGGCATCCTTTTATAGAGAACGGTCCCGGCTTTTGATTACTGTGGGTTTGTACTCCTGGTTTTACCTACAACACATACTTGGGTTGTATTATTGTAGTTCGTTAAAATCAACAACATTCCTGGCTCTTTGGCAGTTTTCTCATCATTTTATTTATGTATCCAACAAATACCTTTGGAGAGTCCTACTTAGCATATGGTTACACTAGTAATGCATATATTACATGTTTGTTTGCTAAGAGCACCCTCCCCCCACAAACGTATTTTCTTTAGTTTGTGCTGTAATTTTTTATTACAGCAACCATTTTAAATTGGCATAGCAAACTGATGAAAAGACCTTGCAGAGGGAGGGTACAGTTGGTAAGCACAGAACATGAGCGTTATTTGCACAAAACTATGGTACACACCAGGCACTCCTCTAGGCATATTTGGACATTTAAGTGCCGACGAGTCGATTCCAACCCATAGCGACCATGTAATAGGGTTTCCAAGGAGCGACTGGTGAGCTTGAACCGCCAACCTTGCAATTCAAACAACTTTGCAGTCTGGCACAGTAACCCACAGAGCCACACCAGGACTCCATTTGGACATACAGGAACGAGTGAAAGAAAGCTCTTACTCTTACAGAGCTTACATTCTGATGGGGGGATGGTAAATAAGTACATACATGATGTTGTTGTTATGTGCAGTGGAGTTGGTTCCGACTCATAGCGACCCTGGGTAGGGTTTCCGAGAATGTAAATCTTTACGGGAGCAGAAAGCCTCATCTTTCTCCTGCGGAGCAGCTGGTAGTTTTGAACTCCTGACCGTGAGAATAGCAGCCCAATTCGTAATCACTACACTACCAGAGCTCCTTAATGGCAGTTCATGAGAGAGAATGGCCAGAGCGTGCCAGGCTCTGATGTGAATCCCACAGAATTCAGCGTAGCTGGAGCAGAGTGAATGAACGCAGGAGTCACGGGAAAGGAGTTCAGAAGGCAGGGAGGCGTGTCACCGCAGGCTTTGGAAGCACTGTTGCTCTGTTCCCAGGGAGATGGAGAGTTTGGGGCAAAGAAGTGACGCTGGCTACCATGTCGGAGTGACCGTGCTGAGGGCAAGTCCAGAAGCAGAAAGACGAGTGGGGAGGTAGCTACAGAAACCCACACGAGATGGTGGCCAGGCCATGGGGCAGCAGCAGAGGAGGTGGAGAGAAGTGACCAACTTCCAGACAGTGAAGGGAGGCCGCCAGGGATTGCTGCTGATACGACGAGGTTTAATAAGGAAAAAGCCTCCCAGCGCTTGGCTCCTACGCCCAGCTGATCATACAGTGTCAATAAGTGCATGTTGCCTATTGAGTTAGTCCTGCTCAAAGTAAAACTACCAAAACCACTACTTAGCACTGGGCTCTTTTTAATGAACACAGTGAGTAAATTATAGCCCAGCCTGCTGGGGACTGAGTGTACATCAGTGACTAATTCTATAGTTTATCATGCAGGAAAAGCCACAGCCGAGAACCCCACCCTTGTCCTGACCCCCACGCCTGTGATACAGATAACCCTTGGCAACGTGCTCACCTGTTGTGCCAACAGAAGTTCACTTTGTGTTCTGTTGTAGACAGCTGTGTGTGTGCTATTCAGAACCTTTCATAGCCAAAGTACAGAACAATACAGTCGTTACCACTTCTCCCCTCAAGTCAGTGATTTTCTTCCGCCTGGAATTGCTGCTTTCTAAGTGAAGCAGTTCATATTTACAAGGGGACTTCAAAAAGCTGGTGAGAAAACTAAATTAAAAAAGAATGGAGCCATTGCCATGCTGCAATGAGTTTCGATGATGGGTAAGACTGAGGAATTCGCACTGACCACCTAAGACAGGCAGCGTCCCTTAAACAAACAATAAATAAAGGGGAATCTGATGTAGACCGTGCAGACCCGGTCAGGAGGTCAAGCCCCTGTGGGCCCAAGTGTTGTTGACCGTCCAAACCATAGGCTCTGAGGATCAGACTTTAGCCACCTAGTAGACATAGCAAACTGTCCCTCATCTGATTATTCAGTAATGCTTGTTAGTAATCTCATACATGAGCCCTGGATATCCACAGACAAATGTAAAAACCTTCCCTAAAAGCCGAGACTGTAAATTCCAAAAAGGCAAGTTCCCCCCCCCTCCAACAACAACAACAAAAAAAAGCTAAAGAGGATAGAGAGAAACACTGTAAACTGATGATATATGGAGGGGATAATAATCAATGTAATGAAACAAGCTATATGAATGGTTGAATGTGAAGCTGATGTTGTGCCCTGTAAACTTTCACTCAATGCAAAATAAAAACATTTAATAATAAAAAAAAATAATAATAAAATAAAAAAAGAATGGAATTTCTTCACGAACTTTTTGAACCCCTCCTTGAATGATGTGTCCAGGGAAGGGTCAGCAGGGTCTTGCCAAAGGCAATGTTGACTTTTCAAACCCTAAATGCACAAGGGAATTAGCATCCTGTCTGTTGTGTGTCTGCCTTATACTGCCAGGAATCTCACCCGCATCTCATCTGACCCTTTTTTTTTTAATGTTTTATTGAGAATTATGTGATGGTTTGCATGGGAGAACATTAGGTTTACATTCATCCTCTCATATAGCGTTTCATTGCCATGGTTACAATCCCCTTCACGCATCATCAACCAACCAAAGGGCATACCTGCAAGCCTGCCCCCCAGTCGTCGGCACACAGCCCCTCTCCCTATCTGTGTCTAAAGCCAACAGCTCCATCTCTCCACGTCATCGTCTCCGCCTCCATCTCAGGCATCATTGCTTATCTGCGTTGGGTCCACTCTCTGCTATTCTTCCTTGATGGTCCCAGGGACCTCCGCTCCTAGACTGCAGTCAGTCACTCCCCTCCTTGCTATAAAACGTCTACCTTTACATTTCCAACCCTCACAGTTAGTCCTGATAACAGTTAGTCACTATTGTATCACAAGAGACCTATTCACATCTCCTTTCATCAGCCTTGCCCAGACTGATTGGATACTACTCAGTGGAGATTCTACCTTACTCCCCACCCTCTGGATCTAGGCTCCCTCTTGAAAGCCTGTAAGCCAGTCACTTCTTATCTTTGTAGCGCCCCCCCCCCCCATTTTGGGTAGCCAATGTCCAAGTTGCCCATCCCAGTCTACTCTGCGTACGTAGGAGATGGGAATGATCCATTCTGTAAAGATTTGTCCCCTCTTTTGAGCTACTGCATCCATAGGTGTAGGTCAAGTTCATGAAATTGTATCAGATTATTCTTTTTTTCCTCTTCTTTCTTATTCTGGTTGAGCTCTGATCATCCAGTCATTGAAGTCAGGTCAAGTGGGTATTATCTGCAAGTGTGAGTGTTTCTTGTGCATATGCCCTCTCTTCTTATCAGCTGGACGCTTCACTCTAGTCCTCTGTGGCTATATCACTGACTCGGCCCAAGAGTCCCCAGGTCTTGCCACACTGCTGGCTAACCAGGTCTCCTCCTGGGTTCACAGGAGTCTATTGAGCGTTGTAGGGCTTAGCTCGCAGCGTCATTGCTGTTTTTTCCCTTACTTCCCCTTACCGGTGACAAACGTGGTCACTAATCAGAGCTTGTATTCCCATTGAATGTTAGTCTTGGAAGGGGGTTTTCCCTGAAGGGATAATCTGACCCTTTTACAGATAAGGCAGTTACTTCTGAAAGATCAAGTAATTTGCTTGAAAATCATACAGCCAGAAAGTCTGAAAGCCCAGACGTGATCCTTGGTCTTTTGACTTAATACGGATTCATTTTCCCTTGTTGATCCCCACTTGGATGCACAGGACAGAAACCAGCAAAATTCACACACCTGCCTCCCATTCTCTTGGTCTGTTCTTCCTTCCTGCATTTATTTTGCACATGACTGTTAAACACTCTGGTGTATAAGGTGGTCTGCTAAAAGCTGGTGTGGCACTGTAGGATCACCACTAGACTGTGAACCACAAGGTCAGCAGTTCAAACCCACCAGCTGCTCCTCAGCATCACTGAGTTGGAACTGACTCGACAACACTTAACAACTAAAAGCTGGAAGGAAAGATGGAAACGACGTGGTCCTCGTCCCACCTTACTTGCAGTCTGTTAGGGAGAGAGAAGAAACAAAGCCATTGCATCTTAAGAGTTGAAAGGAGGTTGGAAGTCAGGTGGTTCAGTAAATGCACAGGCATCAAAGATGAATGGTGACAACCCACAGGTACTTGTGTATGCTGTCTGTGAAAGAAGAAAACGTGAGGTGCGTATACATGAAGGCACACTCACCTGCTAACGGTGACTGCCTACAAGTCATACGATTTTCCCTGGAGGATCTTTTGCGTTAGAAATTCCTCACCCTAGTTTTGGAATACTCCTTGTTACTTAAAATGACTGTTACAATTGAAAAACAACTTTTAGGTTTTAAAAATCATGTTAACAGTTTTATATGAAAGTCATGGGCCAAGCACATTTACTGAGAGGCCCAGGAGCGATGGCTATATGTGTGTTTTCTGGACACCATCCTAGGAGGTGAGCGTTACTGTCTTCATAGCACAGACGAACACCGGCTGCATGCATTCAGACTGCTAGTGGGTGGCAGCGCTGGGCCTGAAGCCCAGTAACGTACCATCAAAGTGGGTACTTGTTTCAGTAAACTTTCTTTGCTTAATTTGGGAACTTTGTATTGAAGCATAACATACATTCATGAAGTACACAAATTACAATATATTCAAGTCAATGGATTTTTCCAAAGCAAGTGTTTTTGTGTTAGCCTCTAGTTTTGGGCATGGTTTAGCTTTTTATTGTGAGTTGAATGAAGGTTTACAGAGCAGATCATCAGTTTCACACTCAAGAAATCATTTGCTTTGTTTCATCCCGATGACTGTAGCCCCTCCCTCCCTGTGGTTCTGGTTTCCATTACTCCTCCTCTCCCCACCTTTCCGCATCCTCTTGATCTACAGTGGTTAACCATTCTATAATGTGCATGCCTCACTCGACTTGTCCCTCTACATCACCTATGTTAATTGGCTGATAACGAAGCCACAAGGGTAAGCTGAGTTCAGTACCTGAAGGGTGACCGAGGGCCATAGTCCCAGGCTTCCACCAGTCTCTTTCTGACCTACGCCTGGTCTTCTTGTTGATGTTCCACATTTTCTTCCACTTTATCCAGGACTTTCTAATGTGTTCAGAGCAGCTGGTTGTCATAGTTCTTGTGGTCTCAGGGCCGTAGAGACTGATGCTCATTTAGTCCATTAGTCCACTGGACAAACCGTTTCCAAATCCAAGCCTCTTCAGTTTCCATCGCTCTTCTGTCCTTCGGACAAGAAGACCAATAGTTACAGGAACTTTACGGTCTCCATTGCTGCTCACCAAAATAGTATGTAAAACATTGTCTTTGTGGACTGTGTTGTGACAAAGCCATTTTCTGATAGAAAGCTCTTTTCTGAATTCTTAGTTTCTGGCATGGCAGGACTGGTGAGTCCGTGTGGTGCCTTCTATGAACATCAGGTGACTAGAACCATTAGTGTATACATTCAGTAGCCACGCAGACTCTTGTCATTATTAAAATAGTGCCGTCAAGTTGGGTTCCAACCCATAGTCACCCTGTATAGGGTTTCCAAGGAGCAGCTGGTGAACTTCAACCACGGGCCTCCCAGTTCAAAGTGGACTTTGCATTCCAGTACATTAACCAACAGCGCCACACCAGGACTCCAGCCACGCAGACTAGGGCACTGAAAAGCTCTCAGTGAAAAGGTTTTTTCAGAGAGAAAGAGCACATCGATGAAACTACTCCACAGACTACAAAATCCCACACTCGTTGCTATGGAGTCAGGTCTGACTTGTGGTGATCCTAGAGGACAGAGTAGAATTGCTCCATAGGGTTGGTGAGGCTGTAGATCTTTCTGGAAGCTGCCTGCCACACCTTTCCCCTGAGGAGCAGCTGGGGATTTCAAACTGCTGGCCCACCGTTCACCAGAGCCCACCGTACACCAGGGCTCCTCATTTCATAGTGGCCTGAGGGAAAAAGTTCACCAAGTACTGAAAGAAATGGGGCGTTGTTGCCCTCCAGTCTGCAAGGGGATGTGTTAATTCCCCTCTTCCTCTCGTGGTGTGGAAGTACCATGTTAGTAATCTACGGAAACCAGAGGGTTCCTGCTTCTGCGTTCACTTCCTTAACTTTCTGCACAGTGCAGTAAGGAACCCTGGTAGCATAGTGGGCTATGCATTATGTTGATAACTCCAAGGTCAGCGGTTCAAACCCACCATCTTCTCTGTGGGAAAAAGATGAGGCTTTCTTCTCCCATAAAGATGTACAGCCTCAGACAGGGTCACTATAAGTCAGAACCAACTCCATGGCACATACCCACTACCACCCTGAGCAGTGCAAGAAAATGTAGAGTTTTGGGGTTCTGTCCCTTCGTGTACACAGGGGTAAGAGAAACTAAGGAATGAGGGCCTCACTAAGCAGGCTGAATAAAGGCCACTCTCTGGGGGTTGAATAGTCTGGTTATTTACGGTTTTTAAATGTGATCGAGAAGGATGACACTGGTTTGGGCTTCGCTGTTCAGGGAGAGCCTCACCTGTACTAACAGGTAGGAAAGGGAGGCTCACAGGATGGGAAACCACTTTCAGAAAGCTTGTTACCATGGCCAAATGCAGGTGGAATGATCTGACAGAAATTGCTTCTCATCGACCATTTGTTTAGTTGGTACTTTGAAGAACTATGTGATGAGCTGTCATTCGAGGACAGTTTGTCGGTGAAAAGACAAGCCTTTTGAGCGCACCGTTGCTCAATTTTGCACTTGTTCCTAGGGCCTCTCATTCTGCTTCCCTCTCTGAAGCTTGCTGGGGAGCAAACTATGCTTCTAATAGTTCACGTAAAAGAACAGTACTCTCTGTGTTTAGAGTTGGTTTTAAATTCACGTTGTGGCGGGTTGTGTACAGGACTGATTATGGAGGAAAAGAAAAATGCGAGAAGATTTTATTGTAGATGCCTGGCAAAGTCCAATGCCATGTATTCCCATGACAACTCAGAGGCCTGAGCCTGCGTCCTCTAGTCTAGGGAGCCCCTGTGCTTGCCCATTCTAGCGATGACGTTGATGGTGACAGCTGTGTGCAGGTGTGCTGGCCCGCACAGGTGCGCGCCGGGCGCACACCCTGCCACTCACCTGAACCTGGCATCACAAACCCCTCCCAAAATGAAATGGGTTCTGTTTGGCTTTTTCCGTCCTTCAGTATCACTAAATCAGGTTGTTCAAAGTGTCTCACTCTCAAATAATGTCCCACGTGAATCATGAACAGCTCCCTTGGGGGCTCCCAGGCGTCCTGTGGTACGAAAGACCCCTAGGATGATGTGTCCAGGTTTCCAGTGATGATGATGACGATAACACACTCGTAAACTACTTTTTCTGAATCTGGAGGCAGCCCCAGCCCAGCTCTTGCTGGAGTTAATGCTTTCTAGGGTTTTACAGTTTTGTTGTCGTTACGTAATAGATCAGTACAGCCTCTGGTCACAGATGCGGCTTTAAATAACTCCATTTTCCATAGCACTGCCTCTTAAGACAAGTCTGAGCTGTGCCTCTCTCTAGATCATTCCTTATGTATTTCTGTGTATGTATGCCCCTACCTGTAGAAAACACAGGGTACTGTTTATATGTCTAAACATTTTTTAGTTTGTTTTTAACATTATTACTTCATACCTTAAATATAACCGCTTACTTTTTTCATTTGATAATATGCTTTAGAAATCCATATCCGCCCACACCCATCTGTAGTTCATTCATTCTTTTAAACTCCTGCGCAGGCCTCAGTAGCATGAATACAGCTGATTCATTTGTTCATTTGCCTGCTATTAGATTCCTGTTATCTCCCATTTCAGCATCAAAACAAGAATCACAATGAGTATCCTTACACATGCCTGCTTGTCCACCCATAATAATAAAGGCAGCCAGAGCTGTCTGTTGGCATGGTGGGGGGTGTTCTGCTCTGTAAGTCAGTGCTGCACATGACCCTGTGTATCAGCGTTCCCAGGTGACTCAACCCCTCTCTCAGGCCGTGTCTGCTTGCTCTCTAGGCTCCGGAAGGTGTGGCAGAGGAGGAAGTGTGCAGTGAAGAACGGGATTCTAACCATCTCGCATGCCACGGTGAGTCTCCCTTAACATACAGTGTGGGCATCGGATATGTTTCCTATTGTCCATGCTGATGGAATCAGCCTGGAAGCCCGGCTGGCATTTCCCCAAAGAGATACAAGGTATAGATTTGAGTGGTTCTACCCTCTCCCCACAAAACCACAACAAAAACTTTCTCTCATTCTGTAGTGTCCAATGTGTTATTTTTTTGTTGCTCCACAAGAAGGTGTTTTGTTGGGGTTTTTTTTCCTTTCTTTCTCAAATTGAATCAAGTATTTGATTTTGTAATCTTATCTTTTGGGCAATATTATTGATTGCTGATGCCAAAAGCCTCAAGTTTTTGTGAGTGATAAAGATGACAGAAGATGTCTTTTGCATGAGAAAGTAACTTCGGAAATGAGACCAGATTGGAGGTGACAGGGCAGTGGCGTCCTGGAGTCAGTATGATAAGTACGGCGGTGAGAGGAGGGGTGAGCATTGGCCCCTTGGCCAGCATCTCGTCACTCACAACCAAGTTTAGATTTCCCTCTGTGCAAGAGAGGACGTACTACTTACTACGCACTTCTTCATGCTGCACAGAACCTAACATTTGTTTCTCTTACCTACCCACGTGGCTTTACAACCTCCGTTTTCCCATGAGGAAAGGGAGCCACAAAGAAGAGCCATGGCTTATCCAGGAAATGACAGGGTTAGAATTCGGAGCAGCAGTCCCCTGTGCTTACCTCTCCACCTGCACACCCCCAGCACCCTACCTGCCTGGGAGCTCCCCGGGGCACACTCCAAGTCTTGTTCATCTTTTCCTTCTTCAGCACGTACATGGCCCGTGGCACAGCAGAGGGGCTCGGTGCACATTGTGACATGCCCCCCCATCCTAAAGATGACACCTGGTCCCTATGGGGCTTGAGCAGCTTTGCCCCTGCAGAACCCTAGGGTGATTCCTTAGAGGTCCTCGACTTCCCCCCAAGGTCTTTAACCATCCTCCCAGTCATGACCATCAAAACCATGTGGGCAGATGTGGATCCATGCGGCATTACCAGTGAAGCTGTGTAGCAGTTATTTATCTGCCAGGAAGCTTATATTGAGCCTTTACTCTGCCTGGGCTAACCATCAGATCAGCACATCTGCCACACAGAACTGCCCATCTTCCGGCAGTAACAGAGCTGCTTTCTCCTTCGTAGACATCGGGGGGCTCACTAATTCTGCTCTCTCCTGGTCTTTAGTCTGCCTTCCCGACCATGCTCATGTCTGATAATGCCTGCATTTATTTGTTGGTGGGGTTCTAAGCAGTGTCACCCCCTGATAGTTAGGGAGTGAGCCCTCCAGTGATCTTGGTTACGGGCAAGTCTCACTGCTGTTGAGGTGATTCCAACTCACAGTGACTCACCCTATAGGAAAGCATAGAGCTGCTCCCTAGGGTTCCCCAGGCTGTAATCTTTCTGGAAGCAGACAGTCTCATCTTTCTCCCATGGAACGGCTGGTGGGTTCAAACCACCAATCTTTGTTAGTTGCCCCGTGCTTAACCCACCATGCCACCAGGGCTCCTTTGTAAGTGAGCAGAGATTTAGAAACAGACCGAAAAACCCAAGAAAGACACAGTTACTCCTCCAGTCCTGAGTGAGTATTCTTCAGATTAAATAGTCTTGAATAACAATTCCTTATGTAGAATTTTTATAAAGAATGATCTTTCAATGGATCTTGAGTTTCTAGCCACAGGTTTGTTTTGTGTGCCCCAACTCCCTGTACCTTCTGCTGGAGAGCTCTTTCCATGGATAGCTTTGGCTGCCACAGTCTTCACTCTGCATTTTAACAAGTCCTGTCCTGGTGTGGGGCTGTGTGTGGGTTAATGTGCTGGGCTGCAAAGTCAGTTAAAACCACAAGATCTGCAGTTCAAGCTCACCAGCCGCTCCCTTGGAAAGCCTATGCAGGGTCACCATGAGTCAATACCTTGAGTCAATAGCTTAACAGCACTTAACAATAATAGTGACAGACGTACAGTCTCTCACCTTTTCCCAAGAATCTACTGTGGAAGGCAGCACATTGTGCTGAGAGATTGCATAGTGGATGGAGTGACTCGGACAGACCTGGGGTCAAATATCAGTGACATAGCTTGTTAGTTACGTGACCTTGGATAATTTGCTGTGAGAAAGTTCCCTGCCATCCTCACGTGTGTTTCCTGCTGAAACACAGTCACCATGGCCAAGCCAACTGCTTACAGATGCATCGTTCAGGCTCGGATGAGCAACAGATTACGCCATTGGCCTCACGGTTTAGTGTCTAAGAGAATGGGCTTTGGCATCTGTCAAGACTTGATTCTGAATCCCAGCTTTACTGCTTGCTATGAGACCTTGAGAAAATATTTGACCCAGAAATGCCATCTTGAGGATTAAAGGAGATAGCAGGCTGTGTTGTCACCCATGCTGTGTGTGGGCTCTCTGTGGATGTCACTGGGGAGACTGACACTGCTGGACAGGCAGCCCCTCCTGCTATAAATATCACAGCTTGCTGCTTGGCTCTCCTGCCTCTCAGCAGCCTGGGGGAAGGAGCATTTCTGCCTGTGAGCTGGGTCGCTCTGTGAGTGCTTTTCATTGGCTGTATTGTTACCAGAAGGAGCTCTGGTAGCGTCGTGATTACAAATTGGGCTGCGAACCGTAAGGTCAGCAGTTCCAAACTACCAGCTGTTCCATGGGAGAAAGATCAGCCTTTCTGCTCCTGTAAAGATTTACAGCCTGTACAGGGTCACTATGAGTTGGAACCGACTCCACGGCACATAACAACAACAATAATGATTGTTACCAGGGAGTCCTGGTGTGGCGCTGTGGGTTAATGGGTTGGAGACTGTAAGACTTGGAAAGCAAGGTCGGCAGTTCAAGCTCACCAGCTGCTCCTCTGAAGCCCTGTACAGAGGTCGCTGTGGTGCGTCAGAACCGACTCGACAACACTTAACAACAACGTTGTTACCAGAGCACAACCTGAATTCAGGCTGTTCTGGCTGCCAGTTGTATTCCTTACAGCTGTACCCTGCTCCCACAGAAAGGGCTCTATAGCCAGTTTCAGATGGTCATTCCTGACATTGCAGCCTCCATGGACTACTTAGCGTTAGGTTGAAGATCAAAGTCAGCATTCCCTGGGAAAACATGGGCTTCCCTGATCTCTGAACTAGTCTAGGAAAGCCCATTGTTATTAGAAAGCAGGAGACCTTTGTTTGGAATTCCTCAACTCCTGAGCATTCCTCCCGCTTGAAGGACCATGTCAGATGTCACTGTTATTTCCTTCTCGGGCGGAGGTCCTAGGGAGAGCCATGTGGCCTTGCTGACCGTGACTGACCTGCTTCAGAAGCACTCACCTTCCCATCTGCTAGTCTGGGGAAAAGACATTTCTTCAGATGCCCATCCCTAGAAGATTTCATCTGGAAACTCATTGCTTTTCAAGTATCTTTCCAAAGACAACTTTTTAAATTCACTATTCAAACAAATGTGATACTGTGAGATCAGATTTAGCTGGACTCTGATTTTGCTGTGGCCAATGCCATTAGGAGTCCTGGTGTGGTGCTGTAGGTTCATGCGGCAGACTGCAAAGCTGTTTGAACTGTAAGGTCAGCCGTTCAAGCTCACCAGCTGCTCCTTGGAAACCCTTTACAGGGTTGCTATGGGTTGGAACCGACTTGATGGCACTTCACAACAACAACAACGATAATAATAATACCACTATTAACAATAATGGCTTCCACTTCTGGACCAGCTAATAACTGAAGCACAGAATGGCCTGAACCCCACACACTACCATCAGTCAACTCCCACTGCTAACACCCTTATAGGACACAGTACAACTGCTCGGTACACACCGAATGGCTACACCGCCCAGTCAGCAATTCAAACCTACCAAGCCATCGTGGAGGGAAATGATGAGGCCATCTGCTTCTGTCAAGATTTACGTTATCAGAAAAAATTAAAGATGAATTATTTATTGTTGTTCTGAAAAACCAATGTCAAAAGTATAAGAAGCTATGCCTTTTTAAACCCCATACTTTCTGAATTCAATAAGCTGTGACCCCATAAGGTTTAACAAATGGGTTAGAAAAGAAGTGAGCTACCTTTTATTGAGCATTTACTGCGTGCCCAGTGCTTTATCTCCAAGCCTGATGCCCTGGTCTTCATTGCTCATCTGGAAGATGGAGACAATGTCGTTAGGCATCTCTGCGTGCCTCATTCCTAGCACGCAGCCCAACACATAGCTCCTGCTCCATGAATGTTTGTTAAATGAAACTGCATTATATAGATGAAAAAACTAAAGCTTGCCCTGTTGATGGGGTCCAAGCAAGGAGGGGATTGAGCCTGGGACCTCCTTGAAGTACACTCAGCCCCAGAGGGCTGGCTGAGAGGGACGGCCCAGGTGGCACCATTCGATGCAACACAACTTTGGAGTGGAATCTTCTCAAAGCTAGCTGTCTGCCCTCTTTAGGCTGTGAACAAGTTGCAGAACACAGTGCCCTTGGAGAGAGCAAGGCCCTTGAAGATGCCCTGAGATCCTTCCTCTGGCAGAACCTGCCAGAACCTGTAGTCCAGGAGAACCCACTGTGGCCTCGTACCTGGGGAGAGGAAAGGGGAAATAAAAAAAGAAAGAAACTGAGAGTAAATCACTTGTTTGGGTCATACAGATTATAAACAGTGAGGCCAGTTTTCAAACTCCAAAACCTGTGCTCCTCCCCCTACATCGAAGCCAAATTGTTATTTGGTCTTTGAAAGGTTCGTGGATTAGGTGAGGCCTCTGGATTATGCGTGGGTCCACTTTGCCACTGGGAGGAGGAGCTGAACCTTTGTGTTAGCTTGTGCTGAAAAGCTCTTTTCACTCCCTAGTGTACTGGTTTCTGTGAAGCGTCTCCATTCGTCCTCATTGGTCAAATGGAATGATATCCTAGTGCCCCGCTTTCAGTGTTGGGAGAAATAAGTGAGAGGATGTGGTGAAAGCCTTCCAGAGCCTGGACAAGGAGCCCTGGTAGTACTTGGCTCAAAACCAGA